TCAAGAATTGATATTAGATGGATTTCTAAAAGCCTCCCAAATAAAAATTTAAAAGTTTATATTTTTGCCTAAGTTTTTTTCAGATTGTAATCTAGTTCTTTTAAAACTCAGAAAAAAGATTTTGAATGATAAATAAAATGAATCTATATTAATAAAAAGGAGACATTTTAAAAGAATATTTTGACAATTTTGACAAAGGGATAAATTTAATGACTGTTGGAGATGCTACTAAAGTAATCATGAAGGGTTAAATGTTTAGAGGAGACAAAATCTCAGGAAAAGTTCCTGGATGGAATTAGAAATAAAGAAATTGAAATCCAATGGATTCTAAAATTGTACAACAAATCAAAGCGTTACATCAACAGTTGTCTATGTTAAAATTCCAAGAAATAGAAACTAAACTGAATTACAATAAACTGAAGCATTTTGAATTTGCAAATAAACTAGGGAGATGGCCTGCATACAAATTGAGAAAGGAAAAGAAAAGAAATGATAGAGATACTCTCAGGAATATGATGTAATAACAGATAAAATGATCTCATTAAAAAAGTCTTTTTATAACTTTTATTCCAATCTTTATAAGAAACTGGAATTAGATACAGAAAAAATAGATAATTATCATAAAAGCAACATTTACCTAACATAGACAACTGTTGGTGTAACAATTTGATTTGATGTATGATTTTAGAATCCATTGGAGTCTTTTGCAATTTAATTTCTTTATTTCTAATTTCATCCAGGATCTTTTTCATCTTTTCCTGAGATTTTGTCTCCTCCAAACTGTATAGAGGATACTGTATAGAGGAGTACTTTATATACTGTATAAAGTAACCCCTCATGATTATTTTAGTAACATCTCCAACAGTCATTAAATTTATCCCTTTGACAAAATATTCATTAATTTCTTTTTGCAGTCTTTTAAAATGTTTCCTTTTTATGAATATAGGTTCATTTAATCTATCATTCAAATATTTATTCTGAGTTTCAAAAGAACTGGATTAAAGATTGGAATAAAAGTTATAAAAAGACTCTCAGAACTAAGAAACAACTTATGAATGAAACAATAACCCCTTTGAAATATCAAAGGGGTTATTAGTTCATTTATAAGTTGTTTTTTAGTTGTGAGAGTCTTTTTATAACTTTTATCAGAAATATCAGAAATATTAAAAAAATGAAAGCAGTCAAAGCTTCAAATATACAAGTCAATACTTTAAATGTTTTGAAGACCAATTCCCACAGTCATTAAAATATATAATAAAAACCCTTGGAAAGAGACATCATTGTGTTATTACCAAGGGAGGGTCAAGATGCCTTGATATAAAAAAAACCCCACTATAAACCAATTTCATTATAAAATACAGGCAGTCCTCAACTTATGACCACAATTGTGCCTAACATTTCTGTTGCTAAATGAGACATTTATTAAGTGAGTTTTGCCCCATTTTACAATCTTTCTTGCCATAGTTGTTAAGTGAATCACTGCAGGTGTTAAATTAGTAACATAGTTACATTAAATAAAAGAAAATGTTTATAAAATGTTATGGTAATGTGCAATGAGAAATTAAGTTTGGCTAACTAATTTATGGTCACTTTTCTTCGCACATTTTATGTGACAAAAACACTTAAAGTGAGGAAAATATCTTGGCAGACAAAAAGGAACATTTTTAAGAATGAAGCAGTTTTATACATTTCATAAACAAAGAAAATAAATACACAGTGATTTTTTTAAACAATCCAATTATTTTCCTAGTATTTTCCAGAGTTCTGAAATATTAAAACAAAATAGTTATTCTTAGTTTTATATATTGGAAATTGTTTATTATGCATTGTTTCTTTAAACACTTGTTTATTTTGAATTCAGTCCATGGCACAATTCTACAACTAGAATTAGCAAAAAAGAAATGGAAAACAAATACAGCTGGGAAACATTTACATACTATTAAGTTGATGTGAGATCAATTTATATTTTTGTTTTATGATCCCAAATGCTAACAGCTTCGAGCTAGCTAAATGACATTAAATGACATGTTTTTGTGCATCATTCTGTAGATTCCAAAAATACTACCATATGCTACAAGGCTTTCTTTTATAGTAACTCTGTAAGTGAAATAAGTATTAGCAACATTAATAAATGATTGATTGTATATTACAAAAGTGAATAATATAGAGTTATTTTATTGCTTATTTAGAATTTGTAAGTCATCTTTGCTGGATAAATATCCTCTATCTCTTCTTCTTCATAGACAAATCATTTTAGTTTCATCATGTCTGAAAAGTATAGAGTAAATTTTATTAATATAAATTGTACTAATTCCACAACCTACATTTGCTATACCTTCAGATTTATTTTTTTAAATGCATTTCAAGTTGCTATATTTTCCATGAAGAAAAGTCAATTTTGTTTCCTTAATGAATTATTTACATTAAATTGTTTCTGTGCAAACTATCATCCATTTTTATAAAAAGAAAACCAACTCTCTTTTGAGTCAGTATATTGTCATAGGAATAATAAAGATATCTTCTCAGCAATTATTCCTACTCTGTTTTTAAGTGGCAATAGGTGGCAAGATGTTCTGTTAGATAATATTGGCTAATTCATACTACTGTTGAAATGTAAAAAGTTGAGATTCGACATAATGTCTTATTTTACTGCAACAGAGGGAGCGGAAAACAACTCCTTTTGTTTCTTCCCCTCCCCTTCTTCCCACTTTTATTTTCCCCCTTTCCCTATTGTTGTCCCTTACTATTTGCTTTTGTATTTTCATATTTTATATTATAAATGAATAAAATTATAAAGCATAAAAAGAAAGTAAAGGCAGACTTTCTAACAGTTATTTTAAATCAATTACTAATATATACTAATTAGTAATTAATGATTAGGTCAATTATCTTAAGCACTTTCAACAAACAGATAGAAATTGGTTTTATTTCTGAAAAATATTAAAATAAAACAAATATATTTCTTAAAAATAGATTCCACAAATTTAGACTAAAATTCAAAATAATATTAGCGTCTTTAACTTGAAAACATCTCCTCTTTATATATATATGCAGTGATGTATTTCCAGAAAGATTGTAAAACACAACATGGTCATCATGTTCAAATTTCTTACAACCTCAACAGAGAAAATCTACAGTTCATCTTTTCTGAGATATATTTTTTAAAAAACCTTATGGACTCAGCATAAAATCTTTTGATAAATTAATTTTAAATTCAATTCAAAAGAAGCAAACATTAAAAAACTTGGATTCATTGCTATCCATTAATTATTCTAATTCTTTAGTTCATAATTCATAAATATCAGTAATTCCTTTTATTTTATTTATTTATTACATTTATTTGCTTCCCATCTCTCTTCAATACACACACACACACACACACACACACACACACACACACACACACACACACACAAGTGGCACTATGGAGGAGGCATCTAACCTAATCTTCCTACAACATCTTCCCACATGCATATATCTCTTCACTTCATTTATTTATGATTGCCCAATAAGTGAAAAAGTTGCATCAGGAAACAGATTTTAATATTGGAGGAAAGGAGCTTACTGTAATTACATACTTATACACTCAATATACCCTTTTTTCCAGAACATACATATTGGCCTTGTATTAGTAGGTGCAATGTCTAGTTTCTATTTAAAAATATCCTCTAAATCTTGGGCATAAAGTCTTGTATTTAGATTAACCAAAAACAAAAATAATATAGAGTAAAACATTTGGATCTCAGAGTATATGGATCAAATATGGACCAAATAGCTGTCTAATTTCAAACTTCCTAAACAGTTTGAATGTGAAAATAAGAGAATGTCTATTACACCAGTGTCATGATTATGGGCTTCTCAGAAGTATCAGCTTGATTTCAGTTGTAGACAAGTGGCCAGACTAGATATTTCTTTGCTCTCATCCATAAAAAATGAATTATTATTCAGAGAGTAATTTAAAATAAGCTACATATACTTGATATATTTCTTTATATAATAAATTAATATATTTTAATATAATTTAATATAGTGTGGGGTTATTTAATTAATTCAATCAAGGAATACCTATTAAAACAGTTTGCTGAATGGGACCAAATAAAGCAGAGATTGAAAAGACAGAGTTCAAAAATGCAAGTTGATTTTTTTTAATAATTTGTTATTTAGCAAAAATCCATACATTGGAAAATTGGGGAGAGTTTAAATCTTATATAAATTTCTTCTTTAAATCTTCAATATTTTCACTGAAGGTAGTACATTACTGAGAATAGGGAAAACTATGTAATTTGATTTTGTATCTCAGAATGAAGAAAGAATAAAAGTTAAATTGAATTATGTTCAATTAAATTGAACATTACATTGAAAAACTCTCTATTATAGAAATAAATACTCAGGAAAGATGTATCTATTAAGTACTTAGTTCAATATGTGGCATAGAATTTTGTGTGGTCACACTGTTATAATATTAACAAAATTGATAAATTACACTGTCCTTGGAAAAACATGTAATCAATTTCCAAGAAATTATATATGTAAAGAAGAGCTTTATTTCTGAATTCTTCAAAATTCAGAATTCATATTGCAAAACCAAGCAATTTGGTACACTGAAACGTTAAATGTGCATTTTCTTTGTCAATATCCACTCCAGAATGGAAGAAAAATAAAGATGGAGAGGTATGAAAAATTGAAGAGTAGTGTGGGCAGTAAAGTTACAGTTTAGATGAATGGAAAAGTATATGGAAAGAAGGAGGACCACAGGACAAAAAGGAGAAAATATGGTTTGATAGTTTTTTTTATATTTCTAATAAGAAATTAGAAATAGAAATTTAAGATATTTCTAGTATTGAAGAGGTGAGAAGTAGGCATTAAACCTATCTTGGGTAAAGCTAGTAGAGAGCAAGTCATTTTATTTTGTTGAAATACAGTATGTGCAGGCAATAGAATGACACTTCCCTTTAAGTACAGTGTTATTTTAATTACATTTTCATTTTTGGGGATTCCAGTGAAATGAAACAGAAGCTTGATGAAGAGGGTAACAAGTGCAGCATCCTTTCTAAGCACCAGAGATTTAATGAGCGTTGTTGCATGCGTTGCTGCTCCCCTTTTACATTTCTCATCAATACTAAACGACAATGCCAAGACTGCAAATACAACATCTGCAAGAACTGCAGCTCTTTTCAGAAGAAAGAGAAAGCTTGGCTCTGCAACATGTGTCAGCAAGCTAGGTGAGTTTCTGTTGTGACATGACTAAGGTGATGCCTTCTGACTTCTTTTTTTTCCACTATTAAGTCATTAAGTCTAATGTCACATGAAAAGACGCATTCAGTATTCCAGAAATGTGGCATTTCTTATGGTCATCGATTCTCTGGAAAATCATATAAATTGTTCAGAAGATTTTGCTTTCTTCATGAAGGAAATTGTTTATTTTCTCCTTTAATTGCGTCTTATTTTCAAGATGGTTTGATGAGATGATATCTCAGTGTCATGGTTTTAGGAAACCAAATTTTACTCCAGAGTTGGCAACAATTATCAAGGACCAAAAAACATAAAGAAAATAAGGAAAAATAAATGGTCAGAATTCTCTGCTGGGGATCATTTGCATTACGCTACTGTACTTAGTAATGTAACTGGAGCTGGCTCTCACTATTTCACAAGAGCTGATTCTTAAAGTTTTTTTGGGAATTTTGTGAGTCAATTGACAGCAGAATTGAGCCCCCATGCTTAGAGTGCCAGTCTGTTGTGGTGCAATGTTGAGGCAACAATAGAGCTGACAGAGCTAGTTTTAAACATTTAGCATCACTTTACTGACTGTATATGTCTTTTGGGGGAGACAGAAATTCTATTTCAATAAAGAATAGAGGAAAGAATAAAGGAGAAATTAAATATTCAGCATTATTTCTATAGCCTCTGCCCTTTCAAGCCCTTATCTTTGTCAATTTAATTGAAATTTTTCTTCTTCTTTCTTTATTAAAAAAAGGACCTAATTTTGAAAGATAACATTGGTGTGAACATAAATTGATGCATTCTTTGATACATTAAAATATTTTGTGGGCAATTATTTTGCTACTACATTTGAATTCGTGAAGTTGCAAGGAAGTTAGAAGAGGCAGAAGAAAGAAGAAAAACCAAGGATGGGAGAGATTGTTGATTGCTTAGTACTGCAGATTGACTTCTAAATGACTGTAATGTTGCTGAGTCTTGATAGTTTTGTAAGTGATTGTTCACTGTATGTGATTGGAGCATTGTTCTTATTGACTTAGTTAAGACTGCTTAAGGGTGCATTTAAGGAGCCTAGTTTCCAGAGCATTTTAATGGGGAGGACTTTTGTTTTCTTTTATCCCCATTCTTCTTCTTCCAGGCTAGTCCTCTTCCATAAAAAATTTCTGGGATCTTACATCTAGAGCAAGCAGACAAGAACAAAAAAGAATGTCCTGCCTTTGAGTTTGCCTGGGGGAGATGGAGTGGGAGGCTCCAAGTTACAAAAACAAGGGATTCATTGTCAACAACACAAGGTGTTGCACGTTTGTCTCCCTCCTTGTAGAAGATTTAAATCAATGGTCCCCAACATTTGCTGCTTGGCAGCCTGGCTCGGGGGGGGGGGGAGAGGGGAACTGGGCCGTTGAAGTGAAGGATGGGTGTGCCAAAGAGAATGAAGGCAGAGCAATCGGAAGTTTTGTTCTCCTCCCTTTCAGACTAGGGAGGGGTTTAGATGAAAAATGCCGATATCCTTCCATATTATATCTCCTTCTGCTGTATGTATTCTGCTCTTTTTATACAACTTAGAGAAATTGTCGTTCGAAGGAAGAAAATGCTCTCCTTTTTTTAGTTGACAGGCATGTGAGATTTCCAGAAAGATCACCAAAGGTCACCAAATTGAATCCAGTTACTTTGATAATCTTATTTACAGATTCAGATTCAGTTACCAATATATGTATATATGCGTATATATGTATGAGTGTGTATTTTTGCACCCTAGTGTTTGGCTAAGTAAATCAACCCTCCTCCCACTCTGTAAACCAGACATGAAACTAGTCAGTGTATAGAAAAATTGTCTTCTATGAAACTGATCCATGGTATCAAAAAGGTTGGGGACTACTGATATAGACATTAAACAGAGTGGAGAGAGTACCAAACCTGACATAGAAGAGGTGAGGGTGGAATCTGTCACTCCCAATAACTGGTATTCAGAAAAGAACCACCACAATAAAGTCTTACTCATTCCCAACCCCCAGAGCTGATTAAGAAGTATACCTTGGTTGATGGTATCAAAAGCCACCAAGAGGTCAAGAAGAGTTAAGATGGACTCACCCGTGTATCCTGCTGTCAAAGAGACAATCCAAAAGTGCCAACAAAAGCCATTTCTGCCCCATGACATGTCCTGAATCCTGACTGAAAGAGATCCATGTAGTCTTAAAGCCTGATTGTGTTTTCTCTTTCCTCTTTTTATACCTCATTGAAATCTGAGTATGTTTTTATTTCTGCATAGTTTTTCCAACATTATTTCCACAGAACTCTTCAGGGCTTTTTATAAGAGAATGGACAATAGTCATTTTGCCTTTCTCTTTTGGCATTTTTATTTCTTGTTCTCCACTCAAAATTTGCTTTACTTGTACTATGTGAAGGTAATTACTGCATCTATTTAAATATAAACAATTCTAATTTAAATATTTAAAATGGAAATGCTTTCCATCTTATGGAAATAGGTACAAGCTACATTCTGATAATGTACTGTACATCGTGCTGTTATATAATATTTGCAGTCAATCTCAATTTTCAATTCAATTTATTATGGTCAAAAACCACTACATAAAATTTACATTCGACTGTTTGCAGTAACCTTTTAGGGACAGATTAATTTCCAAAATAATAATCAGCAATTTATAGTTGACTGTTAGATTTGTAATGTTGTCAAAGGAGCCAAGAAATTAACTATAAATGGCAATACTAGTAAGTTTATTTTTCCAAAGTGTTAAATTGATGAAATAACTGAACATGAGCTTCCACAATCCTTGTATGGTATATGGTACAATCCTTCTAACTCCCTTGAACCAGATAAAGCATTATTTGGTATAATATTTTTTTTCTAACAGTAAAGTGGGAGCCGTTTCTCAATCCTCCCCATCCATCATTGAGTCAACAGAAAATGTAAGAAATGTACTAAACAACAGTGGGTCCCTGTGGATTTGAAGGCACTGTAGTCAATTTTAGTCAAAGTCTAACTTTAAGTGTAAAAAAAACCCTGGAGATTTTGTACATTTTGTAAAGGATCAAGCAATAAGAAAAATGTTGTTTTAACGCCAGTGCAGCTACAGATGAATTAAGCCTACCTGACTCCTGAATTAGAAGAAAGAAAATAGAAGTATAATGGGGAAAAAGAAGAAAAAATAGAAGTATAATGGGGGAAAAATGTAGTCAGTGATTATTTCTGACATGGCTGAATGCAAGCAGGAAAAGCCCTGCCTTTTAAATACAAAATCAACCTTTTTAATATCTGGTTCCTGGTTGAGCATGTAATGAATATACAGCACTGCTGGAGAAAAAATGTGTTTAAAACCATCAATTTTCAAATTAGTAAGTTATGAGAAACAAACAGAAAGAAATAGCCATTCCACAGATAATAAGACTGTGCTTGCAAGTCACATAAAACATTAATGCTGATTTGGGGGATTGTAAATTGGAGTCATTATGCTGATGGAGCATGTTCAAATTTTATTTGCATTATTTGCAAGAAATTGAATAGGAGGCTATGTATGCTACATTCAGTAGCACCTGATTTATTGATTCAAGAGACCCTGTGTGCTGTAGTGGTTAAGGTGTTAGATTAGGATAGGAGACTTCCAACTGGTGTTTTTGGCTGTGTCATTCTATCCTAGCCCGTCTTATTTCACAGGGTTGTGTTGATGGTGGGGAATAAGAGGACATAGTGTTATCTATGTCACCTGGAGTTTCTGAACAAGATGGGGTGTAAATGCAAGCAATCAATAAACAGACCTTAGCATTTTATTTGTTTGTTACATTTTTACATTATCTGATTCCCAGTGCTTCTGGATAGTTCATGGATAAAAACATACAGAACAATAAAATGATACAGTAATAAAAACAAGAAGAAAAGATGCCCACACACATTTGAAAGCTTCTCAGCAGGATGGTGGCATCTGGATCTCAGAGGGAACAACAATCCAGAGGGCATGTATTATAGCTGAAAAGATACTCTTTCAAGGTCCTGATTGTTTAATTGAAGGAACTTGGAGTGGGCCAATACTGTCAGATCAAATCAGCTGGGCAGATATTCATTCAGTGATTCAGGGTTTGCTGCGACATAATAAAATATTCAGTTATGGAAATCAAAGATAAATATATTTTTCTGTAATTTTATTTTTAAGTTTAAGAAACCCAGGGCTGAGCTTCATATTGCTGAATTGTTTAACAAATGATTCTTCCTTATCCAAAGAAACCTCTACTATATTCTGACTGTTTACACATTTCCAAATCTCCAAAATGTCTTAATGTGGGAGGATAGAATATAATATACAAGTTTTCCGATAGACTTCACATCTCTATTTTTGCAAAAAGCCAGAAATAGTTTGGAGATAAAAGTTGAATATGAACAGATGCAACATAAGAAATTCAGATGGAGAAAAGAAGCTTGATTTGTTAAGAATCTTGACATGAATTTTAATTCTTCTTTGTTAATAATAGTGGTAAGATCTTCCTGTTTTTAGCTGAGATTTTTCTAGCTGTTTGTTATCAAGCCTGAAGTGAGGAACAGATTTCTGGTTAGGATACCTTTTCTTTTTGTCATATTTTTTGCAACTTGTCTTTTTCAGTCAGATTATAAAATTAATTTGTACCCCATAAACTGGGTTATTATTATTAGTTTTTAAAGGGAGATAATTTTAATTCTTTTTTGCCACGTTCTTTAGAAACATTTAACTGTTGTTTGAAAATCCTTGAGATTCAAAACTTACAGAAAGAAAAAATTACAAAATCTTAAATAACTAAGATTCCATTTTTTTTATTTGTTGATACCTGCCTTGTACTAATATATGAATGAAATTGTTAGTTTGGTTAGATTTTTTTTTTTAAAAAAACCTACTAAATAGGCTAAAAAAGCTTTATCAAATTTATTCCAATCCCATCCAGCAAAACAAGAACAAATTAACAGGAAATTTAACACTTTCACAAACTCTGCAAATCTGCAGTCAAAACAGCACCAGTTATAGTT